AAGGGGTGTGGACCTGCTGCCCCTCCCTCCCCCGCCTGCCTCTCTACAGCCCTCATAGCCTCAGGCCTTACTTCAGGCCCTGCAGCTTGAAAATTTGCTTGGCCAGAGCTTCCCCAGCTCTACCTTCCTTCCCCAGCACTGCTCTACCTCCAGGAAGCCTCCTGCTTCCCTGGCAGTCAGGTCCCTACTGCTCATGTTCTCTCTCTCCCTACCTCCAGGAATCCCCCTCCCCCGCCTGCCTCTCTACAGCCCTCATAGCCTCAGGCCTTACTTCAGGCCCTGCAGCTTGAAAATTTGCTTGGCCAGAGCTTCCCCAGCTCTACCTTCCTTCCCCAGCACTGCTCTACCTCCAGGAAGCCTCCTGCTTCCCTGGCAGTCAGGTCCCTACTGCTCATGTTCTCTCTCTCCCTACCTCCAGGAATCCCTCTTTATATAGCTCCCAGCTGGGCCCTCATTAGCAGAACAGGATTTCACTCTCAGCCCTCACTCAGGGCTGTGGTTTTACTCTTAAAGGGCCAGTGCAGGGCAAATGCCATGTCACAGGCCTAAATAAGTCCCTGGACACAGTGAAAAAAATCCCCCAAGCAAATCCCTAGAGGGCCTTTTAAAGGCTAGTTCCTGGTAAGATAAAGCAGCCAGGGAACACCCACTGACCCAGGAGATGCACTGTGAATCCTTACCTACATTTTAAACACTTCTCCCCTGGATCAAGTTTCTTCCCTTTATGCAACGGGGGTGTCTCTGTCCACTACCCACTGACTTCAGCCTGTCCCTCAAACTGTCCTTTACCTTGAAGTAGTAAGATCTAAGGACTAAAATTGACTGGGTAATCCAGATTAACAGTCAGTGGGGCCTAGTGTCTGGCATCAACTGTTACCCTGATTTGCAGGGCAATGAGACCTAATCGGTGGAGTCAAATGGGATTAGCCTGATCCACAAGGCAGCACAGCAGCTACAATGGGACTACCCTGAATTGCAGAGCAGTAATGTCTACTCACAAGAGTTGATGGGCTGCCACATGGTGGAGAGATGGGAGCTGAAGGAGACTCAGGCCCACCCTGCTTGAACAGTTCCCTGCCCAGGGCTCTAACCAAAACACACTTCCCATTGGACTATAGCTAGGAACACACACGCCGGTCACTTCCTACGATATCTTTTGGATCTATAGTTGCGGCATCATCACAGTCTCCAGGTTTTCCAGTGTGTGTTTCCTAGGAGTCAGGTCACTCTAATACACACACGCACTTGGGTGCCACTCTGGGTCTCCCCACCTTCATCTTACACATTGGTTTTCCTGCTGCTCCTGAGCTGAAGCCTGCAAGGAGGGTCATTCCTCCCCACCAGGTCATCTAGACCAGTGTTTCTTAAACTTTTTAAGACTGAGGAACACCAAACAATATTTTTTTTTTTAAATGAGGAACACCAAGGATTTTTTGTTGAGCAAAGAAAAAAATTCAGGGGGGAAACGTTCGGGTGTGAAGTTATTGAAAAAAAGGGTTGAGGGAAAGTTATTGAGCCAAAAAAGTCACTTGCTCCTTTAAGGGCAGCCATTTTGAATTATTCTCCATGGTACACCTCCAACTGCCTCACAGCACACCGGTGTACCACAGAACAGTTTAAGAAACACTGATCTAGACTGAGCTGAGGTGCTCCCTTTTATATTAGTGCTGCACCCGCCATCTGCCCAGTAGGGACATGACTTCCTCAGCTCCCAGTGAAGAGTTAATCCTGCCCCAGCTAGTATAAAGTGAGTTCACCCTGTCACATAGCCCTAGATGATACCTCAGCAGCTGCCTCTCTAGGGAAGCAAAGAAGATTAGTTCTGTGTATCAAAGGCCCTATATCGGAAGCAGCAGAACAAAAGTTCCATAACTTTTAACTCATTTGCATACATTTACTAATGCTTTTTCAGTGTGACTCACTTCTTGCATGTTTCATTGCTTATGAATTTTAGGATAATATAAGGATTTGTTTTTCTTGTCACCTACGCTAAGAAATCATCTAAATTGTACTGAAATGTGTAACTATAAATCTGAGTGCTCTCCCACTCCTCTCCTTCCAAATTTACCATTCAGTCTACCCATTCTAATTCTGAGCCAACATAAGCCTTCTTAAAAAATACTGGAAACAATTATGGCTTAAACATTCCACTTGAAAAGGGCATGATCAGATGTAATACCTAAAAATATAGCCAGTAACAAGTTATGCCACTCTGTTTCCCCAAAGATTACTGTTCTGATTTTAAGCTTTTCAGAGTATAGACTTGTCTTACTGCAAATCCTCATCTGTGGCAATTAAATATTTTATCCTGCATAAAAGGCCAGTAATTTTAACCTATGTGTGGTTAAAATATTCATAACAGCACTTTTTCCAGTAATGCAGTATGGTACTGTTCATATCAATATCATTTTTGGCAGGCAATTAATAACCTGAGTTTAAGCTAGGACACTTGACTTCCTTCACTCTTGAAGAGTGCCACAGATTGTTTAAAATTAGGTCTAAGAATTTAAATAAATTTACAAGTGGTTTGAAAGAGACCATTCAAGCACAAAGTAGGCCATTAAGCCAAAATTAGCTGTCCACATAAAAATGCTATAGGCCAGTGGTTCCCATTCTTGCCCCCTCCTTACGCCTGTTCATGCACACAGTGAGCGGAGTCCCTGCTCCATCTTGGGTGGGACCAGACAGGAGTAAGAGGCCCAAGACTAGGAGTGGCTCTGGAGCCTAGAGCGAGCCACAGAGAGCTTGGGGCAGAGAGCCAAGACCAGTTAGAGCAACGATCAGCAGCCAAGATTTAGCAAGTAGCTCTGTCTCAGTGGACTACAATTGCCAATGGTGGGCAACCCACTAGGGTTCCACCTGTGGCTCGCAAACTCCCTGCCACCATTCGCCATGCCTCTCACACACTGGAAAGATACTCCCCCCCATTCCCCTCACACTCCAGAGCCTAGAAGGGACCAGCCTAAAAGATTGTGCGTGCTCCACCCCACACCAGGGCTGGAGTGCCAGTGCAGGGTCCCCAGTGCTGGGGAGGACCCTGAACCGCAGGGGGCTGCATCCAACCCCCAGGCCTTAAGTTCCCTACCCTTCCTATAACAAATGAAGGGAAATTTGAAGGTAAGAGCTGTTGCTGGGCTTCCTCCCTTTAAAGTGGCTGAAAGCAACATTCTCTTCTGCAGTTTCATTCCTGATGTGTTTGTATCTGAGGTTCTACTGTATATCCAGATTCAAACTAGTACATTTTTCCTATTTCAAGTGGGACAGGATTCCTCGGCTCCACACTCCTCTGCCTTGTCATGCTTTATTAAAAATCCCCAAAATACAACAGAAAAGTAGGTAACCAACTGGATACTGCTCCGCTTCCTCAAATGCTTGTAACAAAACATGCCAATTGTTCCGAATACAGTTGTTTTTTCAATTGACCAGCATGAAATTAAGTCACAACAGTGACATTGGATACTGCCCCGCTTCCTCAAATGCTCGTAACAAAAAACATGCCAATTGTTCTGAATACAGTTGTTTTTTCAATTGACTAGCATGAAATTAAGTCACAACAGTGACAACTTGAATATGTATAAATCAATTCCACTTCCAATCACTGGAATTTAGTTATTAGGGCTCTAGACATGTCTAAAGCTATTGCAAGTGGTAATAGATCCCTTAATTCCAAAAATAAACATTTTAAGTCATGTTGCTCATTCTAAATGGAGTTATCAACTTGGGAAGTCATTTGTTTGCCAATTTTGTAGCATGTATATCTCCGAACACCTGAGACTACTAAAAGTTGGGGAAGATCTCACAGTATTGTGCCTTGTGTCTGTTGCTGCAAACAAGAAAACACTAACAAAAAATAGTAAATGCACTGTCCCTTGAAGGAGGGGTGGGGAACTTTTTTGGGGGTTGGGGAAAGACACCTTAATTGATGTGGCCCAATTGAGACACTCCCTCAGAGCCAGGGTAGGGGGAGAAGGGGGCACCCCTCAGGCTAGATTTTGTGTTCCAGACCTGTGGTTTGGAGTTGGGAGTACCAATACCCGGGGGAGGGGAGGCAACAACATGACCCTGAGCTGCAGGGGCCTCTCAGATACAGACAAGCTAGAGGTCTTTAATTCCCCCCACCCCTGCATTAAAGGATCAGTTGAACTAACTAAAAAATTGATTCTATATCAACATTGCAATTCTTCCCCAGCTCACAGAACTGGGAGAGCCAGACGATTTCCTGTATGACAAGTTTGAGTGCAGATTCAGGACTGATTCATTTGTGTGTGACCTGTAAAGTCAGATTAAGGGACAAAGCCTATAAACAGGGCCAAACAATGAAGCACATTTAGTGAACTATAGCATTTGGGGCTTCCAAAATAGAAACCACTTACCCTCTCCCTCCCCTCCACATCCTATTCCCCCAGTTTGCTTGCATTATCTGAATTCCACACCAGTAGCAGGGGCAGCTCATTTGAAATTTTGAATGCTGTCATATCTCCATTTTATCTATGGAACTCATTGAGTACCAAGTGCTTGGCTTTAGACAGCTAGGGGTGTAGTGAGAAAAATTGGTCAGGCCTTTCACCACTGATTCCCCAAATACACACAAAAAGCCAACTTACTATAAAATAATTTATAGTGCACTTCCACTGATTCCCCAAATACACACAAAGCCAACTTACTATAAAATAATTTATTAGGCAATAATACAGCTTTTAGGACCAAGCTCTTATGTACATGCACATAACTTCTACTCTGACTACCCTACTCAGGGACTTTAGTTCTTTTGCCCTTGGCCTTGCGGACCTCTTCAATCAAATCTTTCAAATACTGAATTTCCTTACTCAGAGAATCTGCCTTCTCCTTCAGTGCCTCATTCTTCTGTTCTAGCTCTCTGCACTCCCCAGACAGGGCCTCCTGTTCCGCTCTTTTCTTCTGCCGATAACGTGTAGCAGCTGTCTTATTCTGCTCCATTTTCTTCAATTTCTTATCAACCCTTTTTTCTCCCTTCACCTTTGCCAACACTACTTTCTCTACAGGATGATCATATGGTTTGGGCCGCATAGAACCACAAATGGGGTCTGCAGGAAACTGGCTGTCATTGAACGATTCTACAGAGGTGACTGGACTGTGTTGGGGTGTCCCCAGATAAGACTCTGGGCTCATACATATTCCACTATCATTATCTGAATGTACTTCCTCCTCTTTCTCAAACTTGGGGATCACTACCACCACGAATGTGGTGGCTTCTGCTTTTTTGTCTCCTTCCAGTACATCAACTTCACTACCTAGATCTAAACTAAATGAATGGTCTGGAGTAGAAGTCAAGGACTCTGGAGAGAGGTGAAGAGGCAGAAGGGGGGCAAGTGAGGCCACCTGATCTACTCCAATTGGAGATTCAGGGTGATGAATGATTGGGTCAGTTATCAGTGAAGGTTCTTTGTTGGGAATTTCCTGGGTAGGAGGGTCTAATAGATCACACGTGTCTTCCAACGTGGCCATGAGCTCGTCTGGAGAGACGGTGGTTTCCAAGTCATCCATTCCTAACAGGGCATCAAAGTCGAACTCCTTCAGATCCATCTTCTCCACCATCCAATCCATGCCAGAGAAGGCATCCTCTGCAACATGGGGAAACAATTACCATACGAGTACAGCAGTCACACAATCAACTCAAAAGGCTACTGAAAAAACTGCATGCTATATTGTGGATTTTTTTCTCCATTCATTTCTCTGATAGACAAATCTAATCATATGTTCTAAACAATAGATGTCTGCTCCAGATTAATTAAGCTTGACCCAGACTGGACCCAAACCCACCTGATCCAAAAGGGTCCTAACCCCAGCTCAGCTTCACTCTTTTTCCCTCCTTACGGGGTTACAGAAAAATCAGAAGTTTTGCAGCTCCACTCCTATCCTTTGCGCACACTCCACAGCAATGAGATATCCGATTGGACCAAGATGCTGAATCAACCTGACTCCAAGCTGGTGTGGTTGTTTTCCCCACCTGATATTTATTGTGGAGTGGGTTGCAGAGCTTTACTAAAAAAGGATAAAATATTCCTGATAGCGATTTGTAACATGCCATTTCTCTGGTTCCTTCAAGCTCTATAGAATTGGAAAGATTTTAAGAAGGACAAAATATTCCTGATAGTGATTTGTAACATGCCATTTCTCCGGTTCCTTCAAGCTCTATAGAATTGGAAAGATTTTAAGAGCTACCTGAAAGCAACACATTCGCATGTTGTAGGCTCCTTCCCCAAATATAGCCTTTTGAGCCACATACGGAACAGGGATGGAGATGCTCTTGATTCTCAATACACTGCTTTTCATCCATTTAAATAGCTCACTGATCAACATCCATGAATGATGAGATATGCAAACACTTGCTAATTGAACACTACAATAGCTCACTGATCAACATCAATGAATGAGATATGCAAACACTTGCTAATTGAACACTATAATCCTGTGAGAATAAAGTAAGGCCTTACCCTGGCTGTCATCTGTGGTTTTGCCCAAACTATCCTCAGCCAGCCAATTGGAGGAGACTGCCTTAGCCTTGTCGCTGGAGAACCCATGCGAACTGAGGGGCTTGGCCACCTCCAGGTAGTCATCTAGAAGTCCCAGACTTTCCTCAGCCACCAAACACCACTGGCTGAAGGGGGACTTTAACCCCCCCAACAGCATATCCGTGTTCAAGAGGCTCATCTTGGTCAAATGTTAATGCTTTTTGCTCAAAGAATGTAGATGAGTAGGTGTCTTTGTCAATTACAGCAATGCTGCTGTGAGGTGCTTTGAAAAACCTGGAATTAAAGACAGAAGATCATCTGTTACATAGCACAGCCATTTGTGTGATTTGACTTAAACTGTATGTTTTCTACTGGTGGAAAAAGGGAGTTTTCAACTATATAAACCATGTTATGGAACACTAACCAAACTGGGGTTTCCCTCTTTTCAGGATCTCCTGTGAGCCACATTTTTGCATTTTGCACCCTTCTTGCCGGTCTCAGAACTCTCACCCCAATAGCGCCATCTGGTAACTAAGATGGTGCTTGTGAAGTCTCAACAGAAAGGGCCACTCAAGTTTCCTCATGACCAAATATGGTCACATCTCCTGCCAGAGCCCCTCCCACCCATCTGCTGTGACTCATGCCTGCATTGCTGGACTTGCGCCTGTGCCAGCTGCTGCAGCCATTTCGCGTTCCTGCCTGTGTGCTCGCTCACCCCGCCCTAGCAATAGGCAGCCATTTTGTGTATCCTGCCACGTTTCCACTGGGGCAGCACCTGGCATCTAGCAGGCGGACCAGGCGCGACACAGCGGGAAGGGAAACGCTCCCTGCAGCCCTAGAGCAGGCATGGGAGGAGAACGTGGGACTTCGCCTACAAACCCCGCCAGGCGCACAGGGGAGCGGGAAGCTGAATGGGCAGCCCCC